TGTGTGTGTCTGTGTGTGTGTCTGTGTGTGTCTGTGTGTGTGTCTGTGTGTGTGTGTTCTATGTTCCTTGTTCCTTAAACATGAACATATATGTATATGTACTAATACATATATATATATATATGTGTGTGTGTGTGTGTATGTATTACTAGATTTCAGAACTCCTAGACCATTTTATATCTAAGTGACATGACATTATAGTTAAGTGACTTTCCTGTTTCCTAACTATAGAGGAAACATTGCTGCTTTAGAACACAGACACAGAGGGAATGACCTGCCATTTCTATTAGTAGAGAGCTGACAATAGAGTTTAGGTTACTTAAAAAAAACCCTGAAGTTGTTCTGCAAGGTCATCTTTTCATTAGAATCTAAAATTGATGCATTTACCTTGCCTTTTTATTGGGTTGTTGGGCAGTACTTTATTGCACTTGAATGGAATGTGCTCAGGTAATTAAGGCAGGCTGCATGTCACTTCATATTAAGGTGAGTTTGCTGTACTTTATGAAACGTGTCAATTTTTGAGAGAACATCTGGCCATGGATGTTTTCCAGTCTACCACCTCAGAATGGGTGTTGCAAAGGGTCAGCCGAGGGTCTCTCAGGCCCCCTTGTGGTGGAAATCAGAATTGCATGCCTTTCCAGAAAGTTATAGTGACTCATACGAAATTGTTCTATTTTATTCTTCAGTCTAAAAACAGTGCTCTATTTTTTTTGGTTCCTTCATTTAAATATAAGATTCTAAAACACACCTTTGTAAATTTAAGGTGGAATTTCAGTGTTGGCCACTTTGAACTTCGGTATATTCCAGACATGGAAACTAGAGCCGGATTTATTGAGAGCACCTTTAAACCTGGTGGGAACAAAGAAGACTCTAAAATTATTTCAGATGTGGAAGAACAAGAAGGTTCCGTGCTGGACACAGTGATAAAGGTTTCCGTTGCTGATTGGAAGGTCATTGCCTTTAGTAAAAAGGGAGGCCACCTGGAGTGGGAGTATCAGGTATTTGAGACCACTGACTCAGTAGCTATGTCCCCCAGTCCCTGTTTGACCACACACATTGCTAGAAGGAAGTAGTTCCATTTTGGGTTATCACCTCTTCTCTGCTTTAAGACTATGACTTTAAGAGACATTTTGTAAAGCTGTCAAGATGGTTTAGTCAGTAATTACTTGTAGCAAAGCATGAGAACCTGAGTTCAGATCCCCGGCACCAACATGAAAAGCCAGACCTGGGAATCCAGATCCATAAGCAGCCCTGGGAAGGCAGAAAAAGGGCTGGTCCCTGGAGCTCACTGGCAGGCCATCCTAGCCTAAACAGTGAGTTCCTGTGGTCGATGAGACCCTGTATCAAACATAAGATGGGGGAGCTGAAGAGGTGGGGGGCTCAGTGGTCAAGAGCAGTTGCTGTTCTTGCAGAGTTCTCCGGGTTGGATTTCTAGCACCCACATGGCTACTCACAAAACTGCCCGTAACTCCAACACTTCTGACCTCCACGGGTACCAGGTGTGCAAACGATGCACAAACATACATGCAAGCAAAACACCCATATTTGTAAAATAAGAGTAAGTAAATAAAAGTAACTAAAGATAGCAAGCATCAGCATCTAGCTTCCACATGCATGCACACACTCACACCACACATATACACACAGAAAGAAATAATAAATAAGTAAATGACATGTACAAGTTGAAACCTCTTAAATACTGCTGAAGTTACTAAATGTTTTCCCTTCTTGTCTAGTTTTGTACTCCGATTGCATCTGCCTGGTTGGTGAGGGATGGCAAGGTCATCCCCATCAGTCTGTTTGATGATACAAGTTACACAGCTAATGAAGCAGCTTTGGAAGATGAAGAGGACATTGTAGAGGCTGCTCGAGGAGCCACAGAGAACAGCGTGTACTTAGGTAGGTAGATGTAGCTAGTGAACAGTCCACTGATACCCAGAGTACTTCATTGATGAGCCTTAACGTCTGAGCCTTGCTTTGCACTCCTGCAGTTTTTCCACCTGTCCAGTTCTGTAATCTAATTAGTATAGTATAGTATAGTATAGTATAGTATAGTATAGTGTAGTCTTTCTTCTGAGACGTGCCTTAGAAAGGCTTAGAAATGCAGAGCAGAGATAAAGTCCTTCCCTTGCATCTGTATAGGTTTGCTCTCCTCTTACAGGCTGTAGTTTGTTTATTTCATGGCATCTTTACAGCTTTTCTGAAAAACAGAAAGGAGTTCTCCTGCACTTCTGGACTATTGAGCGTATCATATAAATAACACTTTGAAGTTTTTTGTGTATGTTTGGATTAGTTTGGGTTATTAAATTGTCACAAAATTATATAAACTATGTGCTCCCCATACCTCAACCCAGTCTCCATGAAAAACTGTAATCTGAATGTTTTTGGCAACATGAACAAGTCGAATATATCTTTAAACAATATATTCATGGAAATAAAGAATGCCCTTCTTTTTGAAAATAAATTAAGATATGCATTTACTGCAACAGCAGTTGGCCGAACTGCTGGTCATGCCCTTGAATTACAGTTGTTTAGATAAACTTCCCTTATGGAGACAGACAGTCATTTCATCTCTTTGAAGCACAGGGAGTTGTTTTTTTGTTTGTTTGTTTGTTTGTTTTTTTAATGTTTTGGTTGGGATGGTTTTCTGTTACTGAAAAGGTGCTATTTCTTCAGTGAGGAACATTGTAGAAGCCTTATATAGTGGATATATGTATCTATAATACATACTTCTCCTCTGTGTCATGTGTCCTATTTCCTTCGTGGCTGGCAAATCTCTTACGCCTCAGATTCCTCCCAGAGTTCACCTCTCTCCCCGGAAGTCCCACCTGTCTTCTGTCTCCTAACTATTGGCTGTTCAACTCTGTGTTAAATCAATCAGAAGGCGCCTTGGCAAAGACACATCTTGACAGTATACAGTGTCCAGAAAGACTATGCCACAATATAACAATGTAGACACCCTATAGATCTTGGGTTTTGTTGAGTCAAGTGTAAAGGCTTTGAGCATCTTCCTTCTCTGCAAAGATCTGTGTAGTAGACAAAGAAGTAGAATTCAGCTAAGTGCATTAAATGAAAGCCAACTTTTAAGAACTCTGTCGCATGGATGACATGTTTTTGTGGTTGACCCAGGGATGTACAGAGGCCAGCTGTACTTGCAGTCATCTGTCAGAGTCTCAGAAAAATTCCCTACAAGCCCAAAGGCCTTGGAGTCTGTCAATGGCGAAAATGCAATTATCCCTCTGCCGACGATCAAATGGAAGCCCTTAATCCGTAAGTCACTTACAAATACCACGGAAGTTTCTAGTAAGCCAGGTGTGGTAGCACTGGCCTGCAACTCCCAGCATTTGGAAGGTGGAAGCAGGAGGTTTGGAGGAGTTCAGGGTCCTATTCAGCTAGATAGTAAGTCTGAAGTCAGTCTGGGTTACAAGAGACGACCCTATCTCAAAAAAAGAACAAGCACACCATAAATCCAAGCACTTGGGAGGCAGAAGCTGTCTGATCTTTGTTAATTCAAGGCCAGCCTGGTCTGCACAGTGAGTTCTAGCCAATCAGGGCTACATAGTAAGACCCTGTCTCCAAAACAAATAAACAATAATAGCATGGAAGGAGGGAGGGAGGGAGGGAAAGAGGGAAGGAGGGAAGAGAGGAAAAATAAATGCCAAGCAGTGGTAGTGCAGAGGCAGATGGATCTCTTGAGTTTGAGACCAGCCTGGTCTACAAAGTGAATTCCAGGAACAGCCAGGACTATGCAATAAGACCCTGCCTCAAAAGATAGATAGACAGACAGACAGACAGACAGACAGACAGACAGACAGACAGATTGATGAGTATGTAGAACAAGTTACTTGGTTATCACATTTTTTTTTTGAGAAAAATAAACGAATTAAAATAATGGACCAAATCCTTAGGTATTTTTCTATCCCTTTTATTTGTGTTTATAGTAAATGTTTTATTTGAATTACTTTTAAAAACTTTTTTTAGTTGAATTTTATTATGGACATGCATGCCCTGTGCACAGTGTCAGTCGAGGACAGCTGTGGAGTAATTCTGTCCTTGCACCTTTATGTGGGTTTCAAGATTAAGTTCAAGTTTGAGGCTTATATGGCAAGTGCCTTTATCCACTTAACCATCTTGCTGACCCTTAAGTGATTCTTTGAATGACTTTTTCTGCATCTGTTGTTTTGAGGTATGATCTGTTGCCCGGGCTCATCTCCAATCCTGAGCTAAATATCTCCCTCCCTCCAACAGCTAGAACTCCAAGTGTGGGCCGTCTTCCTAGTCTTGTGTTGTGTAGGACTGTTTGCTTCTCAGTAGCAAGGATGTTGGGCTCTTTGACCTAAGTTGTTCTTGAACCAAGCTGTGGGTGTATATTAGTTGAATGAATGAATGAATGAATGAATGAATGAATGAATGAATGAATGAATGAGCAAGCCCATGCCTTTCATTAAAGTCACATGGTTAATAGTTTACATTCTTTTTAGATTCTCCTTCTAGGACTCCTGTCTTGGTTGGGTCTGATGAATTTGACAAATGTCTAAGTAATGATAAGTTTTCCCATGAAGAATATAGTAACGGTGCACTTTCAATTCTACAGTATCCATATGGTAAGTGTCATTACTCCTAAATGGAAGTAATGGTCTCATTCAATTATTTTAAATTAAGCAATAGAACTCAGATGTGGGCAAATTGATTGCTACATAGAAAAAATAAAAAGTAAATTTGGGAGGCAATAAACAGTACAAGCTTTACAGCTAGACTGTCAGGGTTGAACCCAGTGGCCAATATCAGTTTGGGTACCCCTATCTTCCCTGTGTCTGGATTTTCATATCTATAAAACTAATGTAGTAACTCCATAGTCACTGGGCACACCTGTGAGATCATATGTGTAACAATATGAACTAGCATTGTGCTTGCCACATCATAAGTGACCATAAATATGTATTTTATTATTAGCTCTAATTATCTGCTTGATGCTTCCCCTTGCTCTAATTCATTCCTCTGTCATTTTTCTGACTATAAAATACAGACTAAATAATAAACTCTATAATGAAAACAGCCGGGAATGATGGCACAAGCCTATAGACAAGAGGTCATGCGTTCAAAGCCAGCCTGGGTTACTTAGCATGACCCTGTCTCAAACAAGCCAGTGTATACAGGGGCTTGCTGCCAAGCCTGATAACATGATTGCTCTAGACCCATATGGTAGGAGGAGAGAACCCCCTCCTGTAAGTTGTCCAGTGACTTGCACATGGACACATGGAAACATACGTACACAATAAATGCATAATTTTTTTTAAAGATCAGAAAAAGAAAAATGGGTATTTCTCAGGGAGCTACATGAAAATGATCTAAGATGAGGTCATTCACTTTTATCCTCTGAAAAATTCATGCACAAGTCAAAAATAAGTGAAACTTAACATGAAATAACATTGTAGTATCAGCAGCAACAACTTCAATTTATTTTGAAGCAGGGTCTCACTATGTAGCCTTGGATTGCCTGGTCCAGACTGGCCTAACAATCATAGAGATCTGTCTGCCTCTGCCTGCATGGTGCTGGAATTAAAGGCCTGTGCCAAGTGTATGCCACCATGTTCAGCAAAGTGAAGATATAGGGGCTGGAAAAGTGGCCAGTGGTTAAAAAAAAGCTTATTTCTTTTGCAAAGGGCCCAAGTTTAGTTCCCAGCACCTACATAGGGTGACTTATAATCTGATGCCCTTTTCTGGCCTCTGTGGACCCAGCATTCATGTACATACATGTACCCAGACACAGACACACACATCTACACATAACTTAAAACCAATAAATAAAATAAAATTAGGGTGTATTCACACATGGGAGTCATTTGACAATTTTAAAATCCTCAGCTTGGTATCAGACAAAAACATTAGTTACGTTAGATGTTAAAGCTGAAAATTTATTATATAACTCAAATCAGTAAAAAAACAGAAGGCTGTGAACTAGAAATGGTAAATATCTAAAACTGACTAAAAGACAGTAAGAGAGAATTGTGTAGTCTGCCCCTGTGTCGTGCAAAGTGGGAGATTAAGGATAGACATGCTGGCACTGGAGAGATGGCTCAGTGGTTACACACTCACTCTTCTGCAGAGGACCTGTGTCCTGCTCCTGGCACCCACACAGTGCCTTCTAGCTATCCATAATTCCACTTCCAGGAGATCTGCAACCCTCTTCCGACCTCCACAATCACCAGGCATGCAAATCCTACACATAAATACATGCAGTCAAAATGTTCGTACACGTAAACATTAAAATAATAAATAAATAAATAAATAAATAAATAAATAAATAAATAAATAAATAAAAGAAGACTTGCTGATTGGCAGCACAGAATCATTTTGACATCCGGAAGCGAACCAGAGAGCATGATGGAGGTTGTCCTACAGTTATAAGGAAAGACTGTGGTAATGTCTGATGTTTAACGGGTCCCAAGTGAAAGGAAACAGAAGACACGTTGAAGGAAGCTTGAGTACTAACTTAATTATCATTAAGGTGATGAAGGGGGCAGCCCTTGGAAGGTTTTCCCTCATCATTATTTACTGTAAATTTAAGATGGTTTGTTTGGAGTAGAGAGAGAGTGTGTCAGTATTCAGAAGGCATGGGTCCAAGAGAGTCATTAAGAAAAGGAATTTGTGACAGGCGCGGTCTGTAACCCCAGCACTTAGGAGGCAAAGGCAGGCAGATCTCTGAGTTTGAGGCCAGCATGGTCTACAAAATGAGTTCCTGGACAGTCGGGCCTACACAGAGAATCCCTGTCTTGAAAAGAAAAAGCATGTGTGTGGGGTGGGGGGCGGATTATTATAGTTGTCATAACAGAAAACCCCTTTTGACGTTTTTTTTTGTCTCAGATAATGGTTACTATCTGCCATATTACAAGAGAGAAAGGAATAAACGGAGCACACAGATCACAGTCAGATTCCTGGAAAGCCCACATTACAGCAAGAACATCCGTAAGAAGGACCCTGTCCTCCTCCTGCACTGGTGGAAGGAAATATTTGGAACGATCTTACTTTGCATCGTAGCCACAACCTTTATCGTGCGCAGGCTTTTCCATCCACAGCCCCACAGGGTAAGATGTTCTTTCAACCTAATGTGTTTCAGAGTGTCTGTTGTGTAGAAAGCTTACAGTAGGGGGAGGTTAATGTATTCTGATTTTACCATAGGATCATTTATGCTTATATCGTCATCCATCACTTAGCCAATAAGGTACATTCTGGGAAATGTGTCACTAGGCAATTTTATCACTGTGCAAAGGTCCTAGACTGTACTTCCACTCCAGACGGTCAAATCTGCTGCATACTAGACAGTATGACACAGCCTGCTACTACTAGGCTGCAGTCTTGTATAGCTCATGCTTACAACATGGTGTTACATGTCTTTGTTTTGACATAGATTTAAAAAAAATACTGGCCACAGTTGTTTCTCAACTCTGTTACAATGTTATGGGAGGGCTGGAGAGATGGGTCAATAGTTAAGAGCATTTGCTGCTCCTGGGTGCCCACATCAGACAGCTCTTAACAGCCTGTAACTCCAGCTGCAGGGGCTCTGAGAGTCTCCTGGCCTCCATAGGCACCCACGTGTATTTTGGCATAGAGTCATACACACACATACTCATGCATAGAAATAGAGTATCTTTTGAGATTATTATAGTAATGCACCTCTGAGCACACTGTTGTGTACGTGTGCTGTAGAGGGCCTGAATGGCTGTGATGCAAGGCATGGCTGCACCCCACTTCTACTTCCTTAGCATCACTTGGTTCTCAGTCCTTAATGTTCTGGTGTTCATTCCTACAATTCACAAAACTGACCTTGACAAGAGCCCTAGGTGATCTTTTGTTAAATGTAGTGGACAGTTTCCTGTCCCCCAGCTGAGGCTCTGTGATGACACTGTTGTGTGCTTCTCTTTGACTTTTCCTCTCTGACTTCCTTGACCCAAGGCATCCCAATCTCCTTGGAAACTGAGTGGCTCCTCCCGGCCACCACAGTACACCTCAGGGCTCCTCTCATCACATGCTCGTTCTCCTGCTCTTTTCAGTATCAAGCATTTTAGAGATTCCCAAATCCCACCTCCCTCCTTTTTTTTTTTTTTTTTTTTTTTCAAGAAAGGGGCTTACCCTGTAACCCACGAACTGACCAGAACTGACGGCAGTCTGCCTGCCACGGCTTCCTGGGTGCTGGGATCAAGGCCTGATCCCAGATCCACGACCTTTCTCTGGAGCAATTGTCTAGTTAGAACTACACAGACAGCTCAGTGAACCATATCTCAGACAGGGCTCATCCATCCCAGCCTGTACCGCTGGCATTTTCTGTCTCAGATCGCAGTGCTCTGCTCTCTTACCACAGCCAAAGCTTTTCTCTCCCTCACCAGTCACTAGGGCTGTCAAGGTCTTCTTCCTAAATACCTTCAGTTTGCTTTTCCTTGTCCTGTTTCCGTTTCCTCAGTACAAATGCCATTGCTCACTCACCTTCTGATTGCTGAAATACCCTCTAACTGGGCTCATGCCTCTAGTCCACTCCCTGTCTGCAAGCCATTCCCCATCGCCCACTCCATTTTAACTCATTTCCTGGTGTTAAAACCTCTAATAACTGACTTCACATTCTTGTTAGAATGAGGTTTGTCCTTCTTCAAAAAATGCAAATGTTCTGAGTGAGTTACTCCCTGCCTGTTCTGAACTTATTTCCCCCATACCTGAATCCTTAGATTCCTAAGTTGCATTCTCTGCTTATGTCAAAAATGCCCTAGGGTTAGAGAAATGGCTCAGAGGTTAAGAGCATTGGCTGCTCTTTCAGAGGTTGAGTTCAGTTCCCAGCAACCACACGGTGCTTCAGAACCATCTGTAATGAGATCTGGTGCCCTCTGCTGGTGTGCAGGCAACATGCCAGCAGAACACTGTACATGATAAATAAAACACCCTCTTCCCCTTGCTAATGCATTTATTAGGGACTGTCTTGTTTCTCTCTGCTTGTAGATGACATTAATTATTTGTCCAGATCTCCAGTCCCTTACACAGCACCCAGCAGGACAAGAATCAATTACAGAATAGATGTACCATGATCACCTCTGCCCTTTGCCATGCTAATATTTAATATCCTCTAGAAACTCTTTTTGAGGATGGTAAAGAGGCATTGCCACGTTCAATTTTTCTTTTTTTCCGAGACAGGGTTTCTCTGTGTAGCTTTGGAGCCTATCCTGACACTCGCTGGAGACCAGGCTGGCCTCGAACTCACAGAGATCCACCTGCCTCTGCCTCCCGAGTGCTGGGATTAAAGGTGTGCACCACCAATGCCCAACCAAGTTCAATTTCTTGTAATCAGAATATTTTTTATTTTTTATTTATTATGTATACAATATTCTGCTTCCATGTATATCTGCACATCAGAAGAGGGCACCAGATCTCATAACGGATGGTTGTGAGCCACCATGTGGTTGCTGGGAATTGAACTCATGGCCTCTGGAAGAGCAGTCAGTGCTCTTATCCTCTGAGCCATCTCTCCAGCCCCCACAGAATATTTTTTAAAAGCATCTACAAGGGCTGGAGAGAGGTTAAGAACACTTACTTCTCTTGAAAAGGACCCAGGTTCAGTTCCCAGTACCCACAGAGCATCTCACACCCATCTGTAATTGTATTTCTAGGGGATCTGACACATTCTTCTGACCTGAGTGGGCACCTGCACACACATATACATACATATGGTGAATTCACCTACATGAAGACAAGCATTCATTTACGTTTGCTGACAAGGGGTTTGGCAATGGGAACTTTGACCTACTGAAATACAGAAAAGGAATTGCTGTTTCTTGTGTATATGCTTTTCATTTTTTTCCCCTATGCTGCTTGTTTTTCAATGTTATCCCATGAGCTAAGATGAGATGACTTCTGTTCAGCTTTGTATTAAGAGTCAGTAACTCTGCTTTCTGCCTTCTCAGCAAAGGAAGGAGTCTGAAACTCAGTGTCAAACTGAAAATAAGTACGATTCTGTGAGTGCCGATGCCAGTGACAGTAGCTGGAACGACATTAAAAACTCAGGCTACGTGTCCCGGTAAGAGTCTTAGGAAATGTTGATGCATACAAACAACCTCTAGTGTATTGAGTTGTAAGTTCAAATCCCAGCTTTGTTGTCCATCCACTGAGACGTTAGTAAAATGAGACTTATTTATGCCTTTAATCGTGTATGGGATGTCACTCTTTTTAGAAGATAGGAAGGTGGTACAGTCAGCCCTGAACTGTTGAGGGCTTTTGCATTTGGGAAGGCGGATTTGAGGTCCTTGACTCTCTATTTTTGGGAATTCGGATGATTGCTCTTCCTTCTCTGTGAAGGTAATTGGCCCAGAGAGGGTTGGCATCGATTATGTCTCCTCCTTAACTGTTCTCTGACCAGCTGAGGCAACTACTAAATTAACATGCATGTATGAGTACCTCCTGAGATTGGCTCCGTAGAACAGCTGAGTCTCCATCCTCGGGGCTGGAGGAGTCTCCAGCAGGCATGTGTTAATTCTCACAGTAACACAACAGACATTTGATAGACCTTTGTCCAGATTCTAGAAAGACAAAGAGAAACAAAATGTTTTGCCAGCATTTACGGTCCCCATGATTCAGAGGTGCTGAGATACATGATATTCATTGTAACTGCAAAAGAAAGCGTCCCATACCCTATGTGGACAGTGCAGTGGGAACAACTAAACAGGTGACGTCGGCAGAAAGAACGAAGGATGAGATTTCATAAAGAAGCAGCTATCCAGGAGAGCACCTGGCAGGAACAAGAACCCTGAACCTGAGAGAGAGTGTGATGCAGGGTAGCTCAGACCCGTCTTCTCCTGTGTTCTCATTCCCGTACCCAGCATGCACAGCCTAACATTTATTAAATCAGTTCCACCGCAGGGAACACAGCTCCAACCTGAGCTGATTTTGGAGTGAGAAATATAATCATGAGACTTGCTTTCCCTCTCTGAACCTGACAAGAAACTTAGAGAGCCAGTCATGGTGGCTCATGGTGGCAATCCAAACAGTAGGGAGGCTGGAGCAAGAGGACTGCCATGAGGCTCCAGAGGGAGGCTGCCAGTGACTGACAGTGGGCTAAGCTTCTCTGAACACCTTCCATGGTGATGTTGTGACTGGTGAGACAACCCAACCAGTGTCGGTTTTGGTTCCTACTGAGGGTTCCAGCTAAGAGTGTGCTTAAATAGAAGATTGATTAACTTTCTTTAGAGAAAATTTACAAGCAATGAAATACAGTGAAAGAACTTTTTTTTTTTTCTTTTTTTTTGAGACATGGTTTCTCTGTGTAGCTTTGGAGCCTCTCCCGGCACTTGCTCTGTAGACCAGGCTGGCCTCAAACTCGTGGAGATCCGCTTGCCTCTGCCTCTGCCTCCCAAGTGCTGGTTAAAGGCGTGGGCTGCCATTGCCTGGCCAAAGAACATTTTTTTAAATTTTTTGGTTTTTCAAGACAGGGTTTCTCTGTGGCTGTAGACCAGGCTGGTCTTGAACTCACAGAGATCGGCCTGCCTCTGCCTCCCAAGTGCTGGGACTAAAGGCATGCACTACCACCACCTGGCGCCAAAGATTTTTAACAGTCAAAAATGCCAATGAAAGCAAAAGCTTAGAGAATGGGGAAGACGGTACTATGGTAGCTGACAGAAAGTTTTGGGTAGAACAGATCATTAGTACAATTACTGTAAGAACACGTGACTGCCAGCTAAGCAAAGCCATTTATTATTTATGTGCATGAAATTTATAAGTATGTGTATTTGCTTATGTATGCATGCAAATGAATTTAGAATACTGCTAGTAAAATTCAAGCTGTGCTTTTTATAAAATACATTGAGAGTTTGCAGACTTTATGCATTTGTGTGTGATGATATAATATTGAACTTTTGTTCAATATTGAAATATTATAATATTTAAAACTATCTCAAACTTTAAAATTTTGCATGTTTTTTTTAAGATATCTAACAGACTTTGAGCCAATTCAGTGCATGGGTCGTGGTGGCTTTGGAGTTGTGTTTGAAGCTAGAAACAAAGTAGATGATTGCAATTATGCTATCAAGAGGATCCGTCTCCCCAACAGGTAATGGATGATGCTTTTAGTAAACTGCGTCTCATCTCGTAGGCAGAGTATCCTCCTTGCGCTCCATAATGTAGTTTCTTCTTCCAGCTCTGTGGTTCTGAGTGCTGCCAAGTCACAAGTGGTTTTAAAGTTGTGCTCTCTGTAGATTGTTTTTTTTTTTTTTTTTTTTTTTTTTTTTTTTTTTTTTTGGTTTTTCAAGACAGGGTTTCTCTGTGGCTTTGGAGGCTGTCCTGGAACTAGCTCTTGTAGTCCAGGCTGGTCCTCTGTAGATTGTTTTAAAGTGTGGTCTTTCAGACTAGAGATATAGATGTCTTGGAGGTTAAATACTTGCTGCACAAGCATGAAGACCAGAGTTCAGATCCCACCACCCAAACAAAAAAGCTGGACATCCTGCACACACCTGTAACACCTGTGCCAAATGGGATGGAGACAGGAGAATCATGGAGGCTTCCTGGTTTCTAGCCTAGACTTAAAAAAATAAAAGGAGAAAAAAAAAAAAAAACAAAGCAAGCTCCAGGTTCAGAAAGCCCCTGCCTTAAAAGGAATATGATGGAGATGAGGTGATAAAGGAGGTGCCCAACACCTTCCTCTGGCCTTTATGTATCCACATACACACATGGGCATTTACGACCGTCACATAGCATATGTACACAGACATATATGTGAATTCTTAAGGTCCCCCAGAGGCAAATATAAGAATTACAGTCACAGCATTTCAGAATCATTTTTGTTATAGTGTATTAGTTGGCTTTCCACAGCTGTAACAAAAGACCAGATAGTTCACTGTAGAGTTGTTCATTTTGGCTCGTTCCCAGGGTTTCAGTTGATGATGAGTTGACCTTGTTACTTTTAAGACTATAGAAAGAGAGAGAACATGTTGTGGAGAAAACAACTGAACAGTTCATCTCATGGCTAGGGAGAAAGGAGAAGACTCGGAACTCAACAGGTCCCTTTAAAGGTACACCCCCAGTGGACCACTTCGTAAATTTGCCATCATCTCCCTGTAGCTCCAGGGATGTTCCATATCCAAACTGTAGCTTGTGGCTTGCCACTATTAAAACAAGAGCTGTCATGGACCTGGCGGTGCATGCCTATATCAACCCAGTACTCAGGAGGCTGAGGTGGGAGGGTCGTGTGTCTCATTGCTATAACAAGTGCCTGGAAAAAGCAGCTTAAGAAGGGAGGGTTTGTTTTGCCTCGCTGTTTGAAGATACAGTCCATCATGCCAGGGAAGAGGTTTGTGAGGCCCCTGGTCACGCTGTATCTGCAGTCAGGGAGCTCTGGGAGGTGGATGAGGTGGATGGTGCTGCAGTCAGGGAGCAGGAGGAGGTCCTTTTGTCTGGCAGGTCTGTCTACCACATTTAACCTAATCTACGTAGATCATCCCTCACAGGCATGCCCAGACACTTATCCCCTGGTTGACTGTTCCTCACATGGACCAACAGACATTTAAGATTCAGTATCGATTTTCATTCAGCTAAGAAACTTTATTTAGATGAGAGAAAGTAGGTATGTCTAGCCATTATTTCCAGAAAGGGGGGGGGGAGCAACCACTAAAATACACATTTTGTTTACTTTGTAATTTAGTACTTCATATGTGCCTAAGGCTAACTCATGTTCTTGATTTTATATTCAAAGAGACTTCTCTTGTATTCTTCAGTTTTCACCATTGATAGAATACTTCAGATACAGACAAACCATCCTATTTTCTGCATTTCAGGGAATTGGCACGGGAGAAGGTGATGCGCGAAGTCAAAGCCCTGGCTAAGCTGGAGCACCCGGGCATTGTGAGGTACTTCAACGCCTGGCTGGAAACACCTCCAGAGAAGTGGCAAGAGCAGATGGATGAAATCTGGCTGAAAGACGAAAGGTAGCTTGGTTAGACAGACTTACAAATGAGTCATCTAGGCTGGTGCTTTGCTGTGAGCAAGGGTCTCTCAGGGGCCTGAAAAGAGAGTATGGTAGTGTTCTGTCCCTGTATCATTATGCTATTCTCTCTCCACTTGTTAAGTACCTGAGATGTGGTTTAGGTTTTCCCAACATGCTTTTTCTTAGTATAAATGATATTCAAGGGAATCACCATGGCTTTTCCCAATATGAAATGCTTCTGTGTTTATCCATTTTCTTTTTTAAACAAGGTTTTTCTCTTGGCAGTTAACAATTTATAACTCCATTTTAAATAGGTTTATGATATTTCAAGGGGTTTGTTTTTTGAGATATGTTTTGTCTATGTAACCCTGGCTGTCCTGGAAGTCTCTGTAGACCAGACTGACTGGCCTCCAACTCAGAGATCCGCCTGCCTCTGCCTCCCAAGTGCTGGGATTAAAGGCGTGTACCACCACTGCCTGGTGGCTATTTCAGTTTTAAAAAGTACCTATGCTTAGGTAGCCTGCAGATACCTCTATGTATAATGTGCCATAGGAAGGCGGGTCCTCAAATGCCACAGTAACGAACAGGTGACACAGCATGCCTGCCTAGTGTTCAGTCCCTGGAGGTGTCTTGTTAAATGACACCTGTTAGAGACTCCAGGATGAAGGGAAGTGGCCTCTTGTATCAAAGCCTGTGAGCTACTGTAATCTGCACAATGCTTCAGAATTGTGGCCATCAAGAAACCTTGTCATTGGTATTGCTTTACTATTTTACATTTGTGCAAAAGGTCAACACAGAGGTAACTATTTCGAGTATATAATTGAGCTCTCAGACCTGGAGAGATGACTCAGCAGTTAAGAACACTTGGTGCTCTTGCAGAGGACTTGGGTTCAGTTCCCAGCACCCACATCAGGAAGCTCACAACTGCCTGTAACTTCAGTTCCAGGGAATCCAGTGCCCTCTTATGGCCTCTACAGGCACACACACATGAGGTACACACACAAATACACAAATTTAAAACAAAATTAAGCTTTCAAATAAAAATTTTGAAAAGGATGAGATGTGCTTTGTCCCACATGGCAGGCTTTATTTCCCCTATGTGTTTTTGGTCCCATAACTTAATTGGTGTGTATTTATTCAGTTCTTTGCATTTCTCCCACTTTTAGCACAGACTGGCCACTCAGCTCTCCTAGCCCAATGGATGCACCATCCGTTAAGATCCGCAGAATGGATCCTTTCTCTACAAAAGAACATATTGAAGTCATAGCTCCTTCACCTCAAAGAAGTCGGTCTTTCTCAGTGGGCATTTCCTGTGGCCAGACAAGTTCCTCTGAGAGCCAGTTCTCTCCACTGGAGTTCTCAGGAACAGACTGTGGAGACAATAGCGAGTCCATGGGTGCGGCCCACAACCTCCAGGACAGTTGCCTGACAGAGTGCGACATGGAGGATGGTACTGTGGACGGCAATGATGAGGGGCACTCCTTCGAACTTTGTCCTTCTGAAGCTTCTCCCTACACAAGGTCGAGGGAGGGGACGTCCTCTTCCATAGTGTTTGAAGACTCTGGCTGTGACAATGCGTCCAGTAAGGAAGACCCCAGAACCAACCGGCTGCATAACGGCAACCATTATGTTCATAAGCTAACTGACTTCAAGTACTCGAGCAGCAGATCCTCTTCCGAAGCCACCTTGTCTACCTCTCCTACCAGGCCAACCACTCTAAGTTTAGATTTCACCAAGAACACTGTGGACCAGCTCCAGCCCAGTTCCCCAAAGGTGTACCTGTACATCCAGATGCAGCTGTGCAGAAAGGAGAACCTTAAAGACTGGCTGAACCGACGCTGCAGCATGGAGGACAGGGAGCACAGTGTGTGTCTGCACATCTTTCTGCAGATCGCAGAGGCCGTGGAGTTTCTGCACAGCAAGGGACTCATGCACAGGGACCTGAAGGTCTGTAGTCAGAGAGCGCGTCACACCAGGGTTTGGGTGTGACTTCTGCAATTCAAAGTGGAACTTAGCAATTGTCAGTCTTTAACCAAAGTCCCGGCAGAGTGCAGTGGTGTAAAACATCAGAGAGCAGCAGTCCAGGAAGGAAACAGGAAAGGAAAAGGTCTCGTGTTTGAAAGGTTCAGTCAGACCATGCATTTCCCTCTATAGGCTGTTCATTTCTGTTTTACTGTAAAAAGCATCTCCAATAGTCCTGAGGGAAAAGAGTCTCCATCTAAAGTCCACCACGAGCAGTTATACTACATGATTCCTGTGCTTTAAAAATATTTTTCAACAACTGCAGAGATGGCTCAGAGGGAAAGAGCACTTGGCTGCTCTTCCAGAAGTCCTGAGTTCAATTCCCAGCAACCACATGGTGGCTCCCAACCATCTTTAATGAGATTTGGTGCCCTTTTTTTTTTTTTTTTATTTAACTTTATTTTATGTGTATTGCTGTGAAGGTGTCAGAAGTTACAGACAGTTGTGAGCTGCCATGTGGGTGCTGGGAATTGAACCCGGGTCCTCTGGAAGAGCAGCCAGTGCTCTTAACCACTGAGCCATCTCCCCAGCCCCAATAAATAAATCTTTATTAAAAAAAAAATCACCAGGCATTGATGGCACACACCTTTATCTCAGCACTTGAGAGGCAGAAAGATCTCTGAGTTCAAGGCCAGCCAGAGCTACAGAGAAACCCTGTCTTGAAAAACCAACCAATTACTTTTTTTTTTATTACAGTTATTTAGCCTGCACACTCATGTGTGTGCTTGATATATGTGTGAAGTTTGAAGGGCAACTTGTGAGAGTTAGTTCTCTCCTTTCACTGGGTGGATACCAGGGCTTGAACTCAGGTTGCCAATCTTGGCAGAGGTACCTTTATCCACTAAACCATTTTGTTGGCCTAAACTTCCTATGACTTTGAGTAACCTTGACATGGGTACCCTTGAGTCTCCCCAGCACATGGTGAGAGGGACCTGAGTGGAAAGGGACAGCTCTGATTTGGGGCATCGGATGTCCATGTTTTTCCCCATTGCTGACTGTGTGGGCTTTGAGGGAGAAGCCAACTAGAGAAAGGTGGCTGTGGCTGTGAAACTTAAACCATGTTCTCAGAGTATACAATGTTGAACAGTGCCGAAATACTGTGTGCTGAATTTCATAAAATTCCAAATCCAAGTGGTAGTGTACTCCTGCAACCCCAGCACTCAGGAGACTGAGACAGGAGGATTGATACGAGTTCAAGGCCAGTGTAGGCCACAAAATGAGAGCCTGTCTCAGTAATGAGTACATGCATACACACAGTGTTTCTGTAGTATACATTCCCAAAAACAAGAGTACAGGACTCTAACTAGTTAACTGATTCTATTGAGCTTTGATTTGACCATTTCTTGCCGTGATCCACATGCTCCTGGTAGCCTCCAATAGGTGTGTATGGAACCTATGTTTATAGGTCCATTTTCTGAGGAAAGTGACTTAAATGCTTGCCAGATTTGGCTTCGTTGTAAATATTTTAAGTTTTATTTTGTGTAACCACAACCTTTTGCTCCAGATACTAAAGTAGCTATAACAGGAATTGGTTTCTGGGACTGGGGGTGTATCTCCACTGGTAGGGTGCTACCCAGCATGCAGTGAGGCCCTGAGTTCAATGCCCACTCTCAGTCACTGGCCACATTAGCAAGCTTCAGGCTAGCCTGGACTACATGAGACCAAAAAGTTACTTTCTTCTAAAATCATGAGAATATTTTGAAATGTTTTAATGTGTTTTAAGAGTTTGGGGAGGAACAGGAACAAGAACTGGAAGGACCCCTGGGCTCCGATGTAACTGCCACTTGTTAAAAGCACTCACTGTGCTTCAGAAGAGTGGTGAGGGTCAAACTGGAGCCATGGATGGGTCCACACAAATGGAGAGGATGTCTTACAACAGAGAGACCCTAAGTTTGAGACGGGTGATACCAGTGAGAATACGGTCAGCTTTCCTCACACGTGGACACATCTCCCATGGTCTTACTGCCTGTCATGCAGAAGCAGCAAGATGAAAGCCAAAGCCAGTGCCTTCACTGGCAAGTACATTCTGTGGTTTTATATGAGCAAGATGTAGGTGAAAGGTTTGCTCAACACTACCATGTTGTGTTAGGAGTCTCCTCTACTTGTGTGCACCAGAAAAATTCACAAAAGAAAGTTAACTTTCCTTTAGTTTTTCTAAAAATATAAAATTATTTATTCCTTGGAAAAGGCAGTCATTTCAAAGATTTCTAGTATGCTGACAAAAATACCACCACAAATTTTCCCCAGCTGAAAAGCCTGTGCCTTTCAAGGCTTTGAGCACAGGATTAAATCTGGGCTTTCCCGCCTTGCAGTTTGGCCACATGTGTGTCTTCAGCACAGCTGACACTGCCTCTCAGCCCTTCTGTTTCTGAGCTTTTCTGTTTCCTCAAAGAACCTGTTTCTCCTTTGTCAGTCTCACACCTAGGCCATTTGTCCTTTGGTGTCCATGGTGACCCAAGCCCTGCCCACCTTGTTCCCTCATCCCAGCCGGAGCAGTGCCTGGAATGTTCTGGACTCTGGCTTCAATTTATGTTGGATTTCCTTTTGTTTGCCACCAAAAGCATTAGTACAGACGGAGTCCTCAGGAGTTCTGTCAGCCATTTCACAAAACTGGTAAGGATTCAGGAACAGGATCAGCCAGGATCAGACAACTTGGTGAACACGCATTCCCTTCTCCCTGTAGCTTTCCACTTTTAGCCAGACTTTCCCATCACAGACTCAGGATGGTAGCCAGTGGCTTTTGGACATGTTTGCTTTTAAGCTTTCTGGAGGGCTTTTGATAGGAGGTGGTAGGAAAAGTCTTTCTTTCCCCCAAGTTGGCTAGAAATCCAAGGGCTTGTTCTCAGTAAACCAAGGACCATAGCCTACCCCTCCACCAGACTCCTTGGCCCGAAAGGGATTAGGCAAACGTGGGGCTGCTACATACCCAGGAAGAAGGGAGTTTACAAAGTCAGCATGCTTCTAGGAGAAGCACTGGAGATAGATGCTAGAGAGACAAACTGTCTTTTAAGAGTTCTGCCACTAATTGCTGTCAGAAAATGGGAGCAGGATGCTTAGGATGTAGCTCAGTTGGTAGAGTGCTTGTATATCGTGCATGAGGCCATGTTTGGTCCTCAGCACCATATAAAAAGAAATTCTGAGGAGAAACACCAAAATTTTAAGGTCATCTTCAGCTATATAGTGAAGTTGCTATCAGCCCGGCTGCTTTAGACTCAAGAGAAGCAGACGGAGAGTTCTAACACAAGTACTGCTTTTAGTAGCTCTTACATAGTAGTCGTGGGGCCTTGGGTTGGGTCTGTAGCCCAGTATGGGGAAAGGAGAGAAAGAGAGGGAGAAAGGTAGTGTCATTTATTGCTTCTGACATGGGGCTGTTGGTGAGAAAGTTCTGGGCCATTACAACAGATTTTAGTTAGAGTAACCTCGTTGCTTCAAAGTCACAATTTTATAGTGGCATCTTAGGAATCAAAGGAAGTGTTACTTTCTGGCAATGTTGGAAGTATTTTATGTTGGAAGGTTTGGTTTTATGAGTTAAAGTGACTCCTCTTTCACCGCTTTAACAGCTGTTATTTGTGTCACTGTTGTCTTGGGGGACAGTGATAGATTTCATGTAGGGGACCTGGAGCTGGAGGAGCTCATAGGACATTTGAATAGCTGCATATAACAAGCAAATTCAAGGGGGAATTTAGAACTCAGGACAGAGGCCTAAGTGTAGCGTTAGGAGCATGTGGGATTTAGAAATGGTATAACAGCAGTCAGGAGTTTGATTCCCTTGATGGGCTGTTTCACCCTTGGTCACAGATCAAACGATAGGTCTGTTACATTTATTAGATGGCCATATGGTCAGATCATGATGCAGGATGCAGCAGCAGAGGCAGAGCCAGACTGCCTGAGTTCAGTTCCTGGCCCAACCACTTGCTGGATGGGGTTTTGGTTTCCAAATCTAGAAAGTGGGGACCAACAGTGATTTTCAAAGGGTTGTATTGCATCTGCTAATAGTAAACTGATTAGATGAGCACTTTTGTTTTCTTTCTCTCTTTAACATACAGTTTGATCATATTCTTACCCCCTCCCCCATATTCTTCCATCCCTCCCTCCCTCCTTCCCTCTCTCTTTCCCTTCCTCCCTCCTTCCTTCTGTCTCTGTCTGCCTGCCTCTCTCAGGTTCTTCCTTTCTTCCTTCCTTCCTTCCCTCCTTCCTTCCTTCCTTCCCCCCCTTTCTTTCTTTCCTTCTTTTTTTGAGACAGGATTTGTCTGTGTAGCCTTGGCTGTCCTGGAACTCTCTCTAGACCAGGCTGGCCTTGAACTCACAAAGATCTGCCTGCCTCTGCCAAGTGTTGGGATTAAAGGTGTGCTCCAGCACCTCCCAGCCTCCCTCCCCCCCCCCCTCTCTCTCTCTCTCTCTCGCTCTCTCTCTCTCTCGGTTTTTTGAGAGCAAGTTTCTCTGTGTAGCTTTGGAGCCTATCTTGGCACTCTCTCTGTAGACCAGGCTGGCCTTGAACTCATAGATATCCCCCTGCCTCTGCCTCCGGAGTGCTGGGATTAAATGTGTGGGCCACCAACGCCCAGCCTTTCTTTCTCTTAATAGCAAACCAAAACTCAAAAATACATGGAATCTAATTTGTGTTGGTCACCTACTCCTCTTCATGGGGACAGTGGCTCATTTTAAAAAGTACTATACTTTAGAATATCTATTTCTTCTATTTCTTTTCTGAAATCATACAATTCTTTTGACTTCTTTCCCTTCTCTGTATATACTCACTGTGTTTTGTTTTGTTTTCCTTATTTTTCCCAGCCTTCCAACATATTCTTCACCATGGATGATGTGGTCAAAGTTGGGGACTTTGGACTAGTGACCGCCATGGACCAAGATGAAGAAGAGCAGACTGTTCTGACTCCAATGCCCGCCTATGCCACACACACAGGACAAGTGGGGACCAAGCTCTACATGAGCCCAGAGCAGGTGAGTCTTTCAGACTGTGGTTAGCCAGGCAGTGAGCTAGTTGTGCCTAATGAGTCTTCTCCAGTGTCCTCCATACAGTAGCCAGTAATCCAAAGCCTAAAAACTATGAGAATAATTCTGCCCCAGGGAATACAACTCCAACCTGGGGGGTGGAATGAAAAATACAATCACAAGACACACTTTCACTTCAGAAAGAGACTTAGAGAGCCTGCTGTGGTGGCTCATGGCAAGTAGTCCAAGCAGTCGAGAGGCTGAGGCAGGAGGATTGCCATGAATTCAAATCCAGCGTAGGTTACAAAATAGGACCTGTCTTAAACACTCAAAGAGAAAGAGATGGAGTGTGAGGAAGAAGATAGACAGTGATGCACATCAGCAAAGTGTTAAACAAATGAAAGACACTGAGATGTATAGAAGTTTACAAAGTTCTATTTGGACTTAAATTTGTTGGCTTTGTATTTATTTGGGTTCTGAGACAGGGTCTGCTCCTGCCTTTGCCTCATACATTTGTTTTATTGCTTAAGCGCAGTAGTGCTTTGTGTTCAGCATGGAGAGAGGAGCCACAGGATAACAAACCAACCTAAGACAATAAAACAGCATCATCAGATTGTTTTAGTAGTTTTTGAATTAAAACAGTAAGTTTCTCTAGCAAATCTACTTAAGAGAAAGAATAGACTAAAAAGGAATACGGAAGAGATTTTATGAGCCAGAGAGAAATCAGTTGGCCTAAGTAATTAGACTGTGTTCAAATGATGTAGCTAAGACCTAGTGAAAGAAAAATAAAAGCAATGCAGAATATGAAAATGTATACATCTGTGTCCCAAGGAGGAAAGACCAGGAAAACCATAAAAGGCCAACAGCTGTTACTTCTGACCTGAGTGAGGGAACTTGGAATTTAAACCTACTGTGTGTTTTCCTTCACTTCTCTATTTTTATACATCAGCATATTACCAGGATTGATCTAAAAAAGGTTTTATGCCCCGGCCCTCGGGGTCCTGGTAATTCATGGGTCCCCAGGGGGACTAAGCCTGAAAATAAATGGGCAAGAAAGAAAGAACGAGACCGAGCAATGTTTTGTCAAGGTCTGTTTATTGAATTTAAGCAAGGAGTTTTTAAAGAGAAAGGAGGGAGTAAAGAAAGAGGAAGTAAGGGACGGGGAGGAATGGGTGTTAAATGCCCTCAGGCCTGAGCAGGTGTCCGGGAACTTTCCTGTGGTTTATCTCAGAACACTAACCTAAGGGGTGGGGTGCTTGACTAAATTGGTGGTGTAGCATGGAGGTCACCAAGCCCCTTGTAAAGGAGACTTTTATATCTGACCAGGGCTGGCTCCTGACAGTTGAAATTGCATTTTTAAACATTAATCATCAAATGACAAGATGGCCCCATGAGTAAAGGCACTTGCTACCAACCCAGTTTCTATCCTTGAGACCCACATGGTGGAAGGATCAATCCCACTAGCTGTTCCCTGACCTGCACAGGAACACAATAGCATGTGTGTACATGCACACACACACACACACACACACACACACACAGAAAATTAACAAATAATTTAAAATTAGCTATTGTTTACAGGGTCAGAAATCATGTTTACATTTTAAGTATTGTGGGAGCAAAGTAGGAGTTCCTGGCTCTGGATGCTTCTTATCGAAGGGCTCACTAACAAAAGTGAGCTCACTTACCCTGATAGCCAGAGCACCCGCCCACCCCACCCTCTACTAATGTGTACTCATATTCTTTTCATAGCACTTTCAACGATTTAAGTTAGTATCTTGCCATGTTACGTGAAGGTGGGATGGGGGTCTACTTAGGAGGAAGAACAAGTGAGACTAGCAGGAAAAGACAGTGGTAGGGGCAGGGAGTCAGTAAATGAAGCACAATACTTTGATAATTTTAAAAGAGCAAATTTTTTTAAAGTTAATTTCAAATCATTATTTTCCTTAAAGAATATGGAAAAAATCCAAACACAAGAAATGTATAATCGTGGTGATATACAAAAAGAATCAACCTGATAACTCTATATAACAGTATTTATATTCATAAATACTCCACACAGGGCTGGAGAGATGGATCAGCAGTTAAGGACACTGCCTGCTCTTCCAAAGGTCCTGAGTTCAATTCCCAGCAACCACATGGTGGCTCACAACTATCTGTAATAAGATTTGGTGCCCTCTTCTGGCTTGCAGGCATACATGCAGGCAGAACACTGTATACATAATAAATAAATCTTTAAAAAAGAAAAGAATATATACACACATGTATATAGGTAGATATAGATTTACAGAGATAGGTAATAATTAGGTCCCGTGCAGGAACACAATGGAACAAAAGTTGTTGCCTGCCTTCTCTTTTTTTATTCTTTTGCCTAAAACAATGCCTGAACTGGGACAGGTAGAAGATGACATCTGTGGATTAGCAGATAGGGAAAGGTGCACAAAGCCTCAGTACCTGAGTCCTATCCCTGGGATCCACATGGTGGAAGACCCAACTACCCGTGGTAGCCCTCTGACCTCCTCATGTGCACATGTATGCCCTTCTCACACAAAAAGATAAGTAAGGGGGGAGGTCTAAAGCAGGGGTGAGAGAGGGCCAGGAAAGATAATCAAGAGGTTAGGAACACTCTCTGCTTTTTCAGAGGACCAGAGTTCAGTTCCCAGCACCCATGTAGGGTAGCTCACAACTGTCTGTAAATTCTAGGGATCTGATGCTTCACCAACCACCCCCAGACAAATACACATAAATTAAAATAGTAAATCTTCTAACTAAATAAAGCATAAAAAGGGCTGGTCACCAGAGAAACTTAGTCACTTGTTACAATAAATCTTTCTGCCAAATGTCGCCTGAGCCCCACCGCCACGTGTGAGCTTTACACCAGCCGCCTGCCCGAGTTAGGCCCAAATGAATACACAGAAACTTGTATTAGGTACAATGCTGCTTGGCCAATGACTAGGATTCCTCATCTGTTAGCTCAGTCTCAATTATCATAAATCTATATATTTTATAAGACTTACCTTATCGGACGCCTTATTTGGCGTCCCTCCTTGCCAGTGGCTCACATCCTGCTGCTCGAGGAGGCGAATGGGAAAAAGGCACCCTTTCTGTTTCTCCTTTGCTTAAATATGAGTCTCCTGCTATGTCACTTCCTGCCTGGATCAGCACTTCTCTACTACATTTCCCAGAATCCTCTTTGACTCCTAGTTCATTGGCCAAACAGTATTTTATTCAATAATCAATAAGATAAACATACACAGTACATTCCCCATCATCTCCTCTTTTCTGTCTAAATTAAAGGATAACTTATCTTTTATAATAACCGAAGAAAACTATAACCTTAACTATCTGTCTTCAACGCTATCAAAGACCACAGAAGGAAAATATATAAACTCTAGAATTGACAGACACATCTTGCTACTTGGACAGTCACCCAAAGTTCCTCTGTAACGTTGGGGCATCCATCTTTAGCCCATAGGCCAATAGTGTGTCTGGCACACATTCATTTCAACAGGAACCCTTTAGTACTGTCTTGTTTTGTAAGTTCAGCAGTCACTTTCTTGTGGGTCCGGTATGTCCAATTTATACAGCAACAAACAGTCCAGGCAAGAGCAGTTTCTTGCCCAAATGGCTAATCTTGCCATGTTGAAAGCAAACTCCATAACAAGTTTCTTCGATGCCCATCTTTCTTTCTGACATAATTGGTGTGCCAGGAGCAGTTGTGTCTCACTGCCAAGAAAAACCCTAAACCATTTAAATGCCATATTTCTGTAGGTCTTTGAAAGGTTTGAAGAATACCTAACCGTCTCAAATACATCTCTGTATCTAGAAAACCTAACTAACTTAATTAAAAGATCTGTATAAACACAACACCTAAACAAGAAGAGACATATACCTACACAAAATTGACCTTAAAGTTGTATCAATAAATGAAAATCTATACCAATGTAAAGTATTCATGCCTATATCCTATTCCCCTCTTTTTCTTTAAAGAGAGATTGACTATGCTCATTATCATTTATAACTAACCCCATTTAAATGA